AACACAGTAAAATTGGTTAATATTATCTTTAACAGTCTTAACAGGGTAATCTGTGCACCATGTTAAGCTAAATGCTCTTATATTTTTGTTTTGATGCCATTTTTAAAAATTGGGATTTGACATTAAGAGTAAATTAAAAAAATAAATTCTTCTGAAAATCATTCCATGAGAATTTCAGATCAACCATGAGACCGTGAGATTCCTTATCAAACCTTGAGTCTCATGGTAAAACCAGGAGAGTTGGAAGGTCTGCTTAGGAGCATTATTTATTCCGTTTTGGCATATTATATATTTACTTATATCTTATATACAGTGGCTACCGACGATACAAAACATACTTTTAATGTCTAATGCAAACTATCTTTTGCTAATTTTATTCGGGCCAAGTGGTTCCTACTAATATTAATAATTTCTTCAAGATTTTTTATAAACAATTAAGGTAAAATAGACACTATTCAAATCAAAAGGGGTAAATTTTAATGTTTAATCACAAAAAAAATTTTTTATTAACTCACTCCCAACAAGGTTTCAAGCAACTACTAATTAAGTTAACAGAAAACAAAGAAAAGCGCTAAAGAGGAAGAAAAATTAAAAAAAGACTTCAAACACTCCAAGATGAGAGAAAACTCCAGAGCACTGATGTGCACAGAAAAAAAACTTGATAAATATTTTTTGAACATAAGGACAAGTCAGACAAGATTTCTGGTTAGCAGAGCTAGTGATGATAGCTCTATTAAACAGCAATCAGTTGAGAAGATGTTAAGTACAAGACTGAGTAAAAGTGTTACCATTCATTAATACAGCAATAACTGCGATGGGATAGTTTGCCACAGATGAGTTTGTCCAAAACTTTTCACAGAAGAAAGATAAGATTTAAAATTGGCTGTTCTTAGTGATCAACAAATAATTACTTATTTTCAAGACAAGAGTATGCAGTTGCTTCATCAACAAATAAAGCCACTTTAGAGATAAAATTGACAGAAAATCATTAATAAAGATGAGTAGCAACACAGGACCAAGAATGGAACCCCAGAAGTTGCTTGAAGGAGAATGTTATTCATCAAAAATAACTTTAATACTGCAATTAAAAACAAATGGTCCAATAATTTTAAAAACTTTCCTAGATACACTTTGCAGGGCTCGAATTAAGTGTATCGCGATCGCGAATCGCGATACGCTTAATTTTTACACCTTCGCAATTAGTTTTTTCTTAAAACATATATTTTTGCGATTGGTTTACTTTTTTAGTTGTTTATTTACTATTTTTTAATTTAGCTTTTTTTTTTGTCAATTCTTAAAAGTAGTAAATTATGTCACGCAAAGTTGGTCTTTTGAAGCATGATCATTTGCTTTTGAATCGAAGCATGATCATTTTCTCTTTCGCGCAGAGATTTTTATTCAACGTAAAGCACTTTTTATTTAAACTACTTTAAATCTCTGTGTAGAAGCAAATTAAAAAGACCAAAGTTAAAAATAATTTTTTCTTCATTCTATTTCTTTAACAAAACAGCATTTTTATATTTTTTTAAAAGAAACATTGCTCCAAATTAACTTAATAATAATGATTTAATTTATTCCTTCCCCCCCCATTAACGCAAAAAAGCGCAAGGTTTAGGGGGGGGGGTTAATTTTTTTCTTTTCTTTTCGCAATTAGATTTTTTTGCATTAATTCGAGCCCTGCTTTGAACAGCGAGCTTATGGAGAAGACCACCATTCCAAACTTTATCGAAAGTCTTAGATATATCAAGAACAATAGCCCTTGCCTCGCTTATCTATCATTTACCATCTTGATCGAATTTTTCTGTTATAACAGTTAACAATTCACCAATTAAACATAAAGATTAAAATCTATATTGATTGTCAAAGACTCAAGATGAATTAAAAGTTTTTTAGTTAAAGATTCAAAAACTTTGTTAAATAATTTAAAAAGTATTTTATAAGAGTTTATAGAAACGTGTTTAAAAGTATTTTATAAGAGTTTAAGAAAACCTGTTTAAAAGTATTTTATAAGAGTTTAAAAAGTACTACCTGTTTACCTGTTTAGTTTTCATTGTCATGTTTAACAAGCTTAGAATGAGTTAAGAAAACCCTCTTGAAATGAATTAAGACAAACCTAAAAAAAAAACTCAACTTATTCTCTCATCTTATGGTTGAGAGTGGGTTGCAGCTTTGGTGTAAGTTGATAGAGATTAACAGCTTATGGTATCTGTTGAGAGAGAGTAATAGTTTATGGTGTGTATTATCTGAAAATCAGGAATGGTGTCCACAGACCATTGGTTGAAATGTAATAAACTGACCCATTGCTGTTATTATTTTAAAAATTAAAATAATTTTTTTTTTTGCTAAGCCTTTCATATGTAATGAAATATGTATGGAAAAAAACACAAAAAATTAACAGTTCTATTTGTGTTAATAAGTCAATTATATCCACAAAAGCAAAACTAGTCAAAGCCAGTACAATGCCCATCACTAGTCTATATAAACCTGAAGAATTCTCAAGCACAGGACCCAATAAATCAGAGTAACTAGACTTTATAATGTTTGCAGAATTTCTAGCTGTAAAAGCACGCATTGCAACTCTAGAAAACAAAGTCTTGACCTTAGAAGTAGAAAACGAAACCTTACAAGAATCTCTTGACAAACTAAAAAAAACGGTATCTTTCTCATCACTCTTCAACAGCAAATCTAATGAAAGTAAAAATGATAGAAATCTGTTTCTAAATAAAGTAACACATGAGCAGAAACAAAGACAGCAAAAAGAATCAAGTGTTATAGTGGTGGGACGAGAGGTCTCAGACAAATGTAAAAAAAATAAACAAACAGCCAAGTATTTCTTTAGAGCTGTTGTTATCGACACCTCAATTATTGTGAGAGTCAGAGGTTTTGATCATAAAAAATCCAACACAGAACTCAGAAAAACCTAGCTCATGCAGTTCACAGTCAAAGACTCTGAATCGCATGCCCTGATCTTATCAAAAGGCTGGCATCGTGGATTCATCAGACCTGAGTACAAATATGTGTTTGCTAGAGAAGACCGAACGGAGACAGAACAACACGTTGCCGTTGCGCAGAAGCTTTTTCTGTCCCTTTAACCTTGTTATTTAAATTTTTTATTTTAACATCCTTTGTTCCAGATCAACGGAGAAAAGCAGAAGTAACACCTATATTCAGAAAAGAAAGTAAGTTAAAGGCAAGCAACTACCGGCCAGTTTCCAAAACCTCAGTTCCTTGTAAGGTGTTAGAAGGTTTCATCCACAATTGTATTATGCAGTATTGTGTCAAAAACAAACTTATTGCTCCAGCTCAGCATGACTTCGTCAAACACTGGGGGTGCACAACAAACCTATTAGAATCACAGGATAACGTTACAGATGCCATCAATCAGGGTTTTACAGCAGACATAATTTATACAGACTTTTCAAAAGCATTCAATTAGGTACTGCATGAAAGATTTATATAAACTGAAGGCATATGTCATTCACGATCAACTACATAAAATTGAATGACAAATAGAAAACAAGGTGTCAAAGTAGATAATACATTCTCGCCATGGAGAAAAATGTTCGAAGTACCTCAGGGTTTAATTTTAGGACAGCTCCTTTTTGGTGCTCTACATTAACAATTTACCAAACTTAATTTAAGTCATAAAAATTTATGCAGTCGACAGCAAGATCATAGGTATTATCAAGTCTGAAAAAGATGCACTATGTCTTCAAAAAGATCTTGACACAGCTGTGTCAAGATCAGCTGTGTCATTTCTTCACTATCTTCGTGACAGTCTGATGCCGTCTTATTAACATTTTCTTTCAAACTTTTGTTTTTAATCTGGATTTTTTAACGAATGCATTAGTGATGAAACACTGCTTTCAATAAGTGCATTGGTGATGAAATACTGCTTTCAAATTAGTTAGTTATACAATAAATCCATTTTCAAATTAAATAAAACTTTTAATCTATTGAAAAGATGAACGCATATAACAATATAATAATAGCACATCTTGACACAGCTGTTAAATGGTCTAAAAAATGACTTATGCCATTTAAAATTGAAAAATGTAAAGTTACGCACATGGACAAAAAAAAAAAAGGAGCTAAATCATATATATACAATGGAATCACAAAATGGTCATCGCAAACAACTCAAAACCACAGCAAAAGAATGCAATTTGGGGGTTATAGTATCTAATAATCTTAAAGTAAAGTTACAAGTTGAGCATGCAGCTGCAGCTGGAAATAAAGTGCTAGGGAAATTTAAAAAAGGATTCAGAAGTCGTTTAACTCTTTGACATTTCGTATATACTACTTATATCCAACCATTATTTGAATTTGCCGTCCCAGCATGGTCTACTCATTTCATAGGAAATATAAATACAAAAAAATTTGACATCGAACCACAAAATGGATTAAGTCAATAAGTCACCTAAAGTACGAGGAACATTTAACATGGCTTAATTTGACTACCCTTGAAAACCGCCACACGTATATGGACCTTATACAGCATTACAAAATAATTAATAGAATTAATTCTATCAATTTTGTGGCGCCGCAAACCATATCAGTGTATCGAAGATCTACGTATAGCTTAAGAATAAGGAGCCATTCCTTTAAACTAGCCGTCGAAAAAAATTTGAAGCGTGAAAAACTTAATTTTTTCACTAATTGAGTTAAAAACTGGAATTAACTACCACAGTAAGCACCATCACTCAACTGTTTTAAATCTTAACTTTAATAGTACAGTTTATTCAGGTTTTTTTATTTGGCTGACGCAGCTATAATGGCAAATGTTGTCAAAAAAGGGGTCCTTGTCTGCTTCTCTCTATCAATAGTTAGAATATGTATTTTAGATAAATTTTTACCACAAACTGTTTTTACTGTGCATGATTTCAATACATTTGTAAATAATAATTATTAATGACTGAATAAATATTCAATGTATATAAACCTTGTATATGCTTTATGAATATAATTTTTTTAATTATCAACTTTTTTTTAATTTATAGGCTGAGAATGATCAGGTGTTTATATTATCAAATAAAGTTTCTTCGCCATTATTTAAACCAGAAATTGATATGACATGGCTTTTTTTAATTGGATTAGCAGCTTCATTGAGAATTTACAACCTTTCAACACCAAAAGCAGTTGTGTATGTTTTATATGTATAGTTTTAATTTTTTTTCTAAAGTAAAAAAAATTTAATTTATTAAAAATGAAAATTAATTATATTTTATTACTTTTATTCACCTAAATTCACTTACTCAAGACAAAGTAAAATCTTTACTTTTTTTCATTTTCTGTTTTTCTTGAAATCATGAAGTCTGATCTCATAATGAGTGATACTTAGTGTTAAAGAAATTAATTTATGTAAAGACTAATTACAAAAATTTTTCATTTATTAATTTAAATTTTTATTTATTTTTGATCTTTCATTTTTTTCAGTTTTATTATAAATAACTTAAATTAGGGTTTTAGAAAAGTAATAAAATATGTAAAGTAAAAAAAATGTAGACCACACCAAGCTGGGGTTGGAGTCCAGGTTGCATAAATATAAATGGTTGGCATTATTTGTATGCACATACAACTAATTTTTTCTTGGTTGTACATAAATATTTAAACATAAAATATTTATCAATTATTTTGACTATTTCAGCTAAAAATCTTGTGTTTAACCTAATAATTTTTTTTATAAATTAAATTAGTTTATAAACCCTATTTAAATAAATATTGAAATACTATCAGAGCCTATTAGATGAAACAAGAAAAATCAAGCAAAAATATGAGTCGAGTCAAAAAGATTCAATGTTTATTGTCTTGGGCAGGGAGCATATTTATACAGGTTAAATTAGATTAAGTTTTTCTTGACTTATATTTAGTTTTTAATTTATAATTTACCAAATTTAGTATCAACATTTTTTACTTTGTTATACTATTTTGTTTGACTTGATTATCATTTATATTACTTATTATATTCTGTTTAGTTATTTTTATCAGTATTTTATTGTTCCTAATACTTATTGATATTATTTACTTTTTATTGTTAACATAACTATTTCTTATTGTTATTGTTATTGCAAACATAGCTATTTCTTATTGTTATTGTTAACATAGCTATTTCTTATTGTTATTGTTATTGCAAACATAGCTATTTCTTATTGTTATTGTTAACATAGCTATTTCTTATTGTTATTGTTATTGCAAACATAGCTATTTCTTATTGTTATTGTTAACATAGCTATTTCTTATTGTTATTGTTATTGCAAACATAGCTATTTCTTATTGTTATTGTTAACATAGCTATTTCTTATTGTTATTGTTATTGAAAACATAGCTATTTCTTATTGTTATTGTTAACATAGCTATTTCTTATTGTTATTGTTATTGCAAACATAGCTATTTCTTATTGTTATTGTTAACATAGCTATTTCTTATTGTTATTGTTATTGCAAACATAGCTATTTCTTATTGTTATTGTTAACATAGCTATTTCTTATTGTTATTGTTATTGCAAACATAACTATTTCTTATTGTTATTGTTAACATAGCTATTTCTTATTGTTATTGTTATTGCAAACATAGCTATTTCTTATTTTTTATTGTTATTGTTAACATAGCTATTTCTTATTTTGTATTGTTATTGTTAAAATAGCTATTTCTTATTTTGTATTGTTATTGTTAACATAGCTATTTCTTATTGTTATTGTTATTGCAAACATAGCTATTTCTTATTGTTATTGTTAACATAGCTATTTCTTATTGTTATTGTTATTGCAAACATAGCTATTTCTTATTGTTATTGTTAACATAGCTATTTCTTATTGTTATTGTTATTGCAAACATAGCTATTTCTTATTGTTATTGTTAACATAGCTATTTCTTATTGTTATTGTTATTGCAAACATAGCTATTTCTTATTTTTTATTGTTATTGTTAACATAGCTATTTCTTATTTTGTATTGTTATTGTTAAAATAGCTATTTCTTATTTTGTATTGTTATTGTTAACATAGCTATTTCTTATTTTTTATTGTTATTGTTAACATAGTTATTTCTTATTTTGTATTGTTATTTTTAACATAGCTCTTTCTTATTGTTATTGTTAACATAGCTATTTCTTATTTTGTATTGTTATTGTTAACATAGCTATTTCTTATTTTGTATTTTTATTGTTAACATAACTATTTCTTATTTTGTATTGTTATTGTTAACATAGCTATTTCTTATTGTTATTGTTATTGTTAACATAGCTATTTCTTATTTTGTATTGTTATTGTTAACATAGCTAATTGTTATTGTTATTGTTAACATAGCTATTTCTTATTTTTTAACTATTATATTTATAGTATTCTTATATATTTGCTATTATTTCAAATAATCTTTAGTTATTAATATTGTTATTTACTTTTCAATTATTTTCTCTAACTTCCTCTTGAATATTGCAGAATTATCATTAGTCTACTATTTTGATAAAAGTTAGTTTAAGTTGCCTCTTTAAAAAATGACAAAAACTTTATCATCTCATCTACCAATTGTTTACATGTTTATTAAAATATAACTGAATCACCTCTTACCTATAAAAAATTTAACTTTTTTTCTTACTAATGTTGCTCATTAACTTGAATCCAATTTTATTCTGCTGACAAATATAAAAAAATCTTACGTATTCAAATTTACTTAGTCTTATCTCCATAGTCTACTCTTATTCTCAGTCTGTTTAGTCTGTTTTTATTTCTAAAAAAACAATCCTGAAATTTCTCTCATCTAAATTGAAGCTGAGTAAAAACATTTATAGAGATTTTATGTATCAATATTTAAATTCTTTTATTATCTCATTTGTAAACTCAAATTTGTAAACATTTGTAAATTGTAAATTTGTAAATGGAACTTTTCCTATTATTTCAAAATTATCAAGTGGTTCTAATATTTAAAAATACATGCCCAAATTTTTTTTATATATTTATATTGATAACTAAAGAAATCAGAATCAAGCTATTTATTCAAAAAAGCAAGCTATTAATTCAGGTCATATTTATCATTAACAAATAATGTTTTTATCTATTTACCAAAAAGCTTTTGATTCTGTTGAATGTAACATTTTGATTTCTAAATTTGAACATTTTAAAATTTGTGGTGTTGTAAGTGACTATGCTTTATTCTTGTCTTAATTATTCAGATCAGAAACAATTGGTAAATTTTAAAGGTGATAGTTTTAGTAATAAACTTATTGTGTGTGGTGTTCTTCAAAGTTATAGTAAAATTTGGTAATCTTCTTTTTGCTTTTGACTCTCTAAATTAAAATTTACACCCTTTCATTACTTATTGCAATAATGACTTTTATGATGTAGGTACAGGCGATGATGAAGATTGCGAGGATGCATTCTTGACAATTATTCATAGACCTTTTCCACAGACTAATACTTACTTACTAGAAATTAAAAAAAAAAATGTTATTATTCACTTTCCCCAAGGCTGAGGGGCTGCTACAATCCTGGAGGCTGCTTTTTTTTAATGTGCAGTTACTACCAGGGGCATAATAGGAGTTGAATTCGGAACTTATTGCTTACGAAGCAAGCACTCTGCCACTACACCACAACTGCATCAATATTTATAATGGAAAGCCTAATGTCAAAAGTGCAGTATGCATTCTATTGTCTATCACTGCATCTGGAACGAGAGTCTAGAAAAAGGAATGAGAGTCTTGTATGCATTGCAAATAATTTCAAAAAACTACGTCAAACATGTTTACCATCTTTTTTTCATCTAGACAAAATTAATTTGAAATAATTTTGTTCTTTCTTAACATTTTAATCTCTTATTAGAAATATTACTTTTGTTATTGTTATTACTACCATTGTTGTTTATCATTTTGTTTTTTTCATTATTTTATTATTGCATGGAAATTATAATTTTTACATGTTTATTTTTTATATATATGTTTCTTGTGTTATTATGCTCTTAAAAATTTTATTTACACATCTATATACATCTTATTATATTTAATCATTGTTTATGCATGTTCTCCCTATATTAGTTGATGTATATCACACATCTCCATAAATCAATTTGACACCAGCTCCCTAAATCAATTTTGTTAATCTAAATATGCTTTTATAGTAGATTAAATAGAAAAAAAAATTAAGATTAATCTAAATATCTAAAGAAAAATTATAATTTTTTTTTTTTTTGTAAAAATGCATATTTTTCATTATAAGTTAAAAAATGTGATTTTGTAGGCATTGAAATTTAAAATAATATATATATTTTTTTAAAATAGTGATTATTTTTATAAAATTTTTCTTTTTTTGAGACCCAACATGATGTACCTTAGAAGACCTTTTTTTATGATAATATTAAGGACCTATCTAATGTTTAAGGGTGTTGAGCTACCTCTAAAAAATTTTATTTTTCAAAAATTTTTAAATTCCAGTATTATTTTATTATATAGAACACATTTAGAAGGTGGGAGATGACTTTATATATATATACAGTGGTGTACACTGGATTTTTAGATGTTTGAGTTTTGACACTTACAGGTATTGTGCAAACTCCAAACTTTTGTATGTTCATACTTATGTCAAATGAGAATGTTTTGCAAAAAGTTGTGGTGACTGGAGCTTGGGGACAAAAAACCCCCAATTTTCGGGTCCACCCAGCCCTTAACATGGGACCAACAAGTTGACAAAATAATTTTTTTAGTATTTTTATCTAAGTTTATATTCATCAACGAATTTCAAATTTCATGCAATAACCTCTTAGTTTTTATATCATAATTTTCGAAAAATAAGAAATTATTGGATAAAATTTGAAATTGGTGGATGGATATAAACTTAGATAAAAATACTAAAAAAATTATTTTATCAACTTGTTGCTCCTACGTTAAGGGCTGGGTGGGCCCAAAAATTGTTTTTTTTTTGTCTATATATATTATATATATATATATATATATATATATATATATATATATATATATATATATATATATATATATATATATATATATATATATACAATATTTTTTATTCTTAACATGTTTAGTAATACAGTTTTGTAATATAGTGAACCAATAAAAATGATAAAAAAATGACAAAATAAAAAACAAGTGAATATAATCAAAAACTGTCATTATAAATATTCAAGTTAATGGAAAGTTTACTTATTAAGAGAAGGATTTTCCTGTTTAATGTGGAGCGATTCTTTAATCTCTAATTTATGTTTATTTGGAGCAGTATCCAAAACCTCAAAACAATTACAGTTAGATTTTTATATTTAATTGATATATTTTTATGTTTTTATAAATGAGATTTTTTATCAGTTTCAAGGTGCTCATTTATCCTACTTGTTGAATGTCTAAAAGTTTCTCCAATATAACTGACATTCCAGCCTGTGCAAGAAAGTTTGTAAACAAATTTTTTATAATTAGAAAAAGATCCAATGAATGAAAGCTTGAAATATATTTGAGTTATTAATAAAGGGAGAAACAGATGATGATTCAAACAGATAGTTGCTTCTCTTTATCTAAATTGCTAAAGTTGCTTCTCTTTATCTAAATGCTAAAGTTGCTTCTCTTTATCGAGCTCGTCACTTTCTTACTCTGGATTATATTCTCTATCTCTATAAATCTCAAATCCGGCCTTGTATGGAATACTGTTGCCATATCTGGGGCGGATCTTCTAATGATGCCCTTTCTCTTTTAGACAAGGTGCAAAAACGCATTGTAAACATAGTTGGACCTGCTCTTGCAGCCAACTTTCAACCTCTGTCACATTGTTGTAATGTTGCTTCTCTTTCTCTTTTCTACAAATACTATAATGGGCACTGCTCTAAATAGCTAGCGTCTCTTGTGCCATTTACTAAAATTCATTCTCGTGTTACTCGTCATTCAATTAAGTCTCATCCTTTTTCTGTTACTGTTCCTAAGTGCTCCAAAAACTCTTATTCGTCTAGTTTTTTTCCTCGAACATCGGTTCTTTGGAATTCGCTTCCTTCATCTTGCTTTCCTGATCCATATAATTTGCAATCTTTTAAGTCGTCTGTCAATCGTTATCTTGCTCTACAATCTTCATCTTTTCTCTTCCAGTAACTTCCAACACTAATTAGTGGTTGCTTGCAGCCTTGTTGGAAGCAAAGATAATTAAAAAAAAAAAAAAAAGTTCATTTTCTTATCAATATACAATTTACTTTTGAGTTTTTTTGTGGAAATTATTTTGTAAAACAAAATAAGATTTTTATGTCTTAATCGAATCCAAGCTAAATATTTATAATTTTTTATAATCAATCAAACATACTAGTACAATATATAGACAAAATTTGTAGCAAGAAGGAATAAAATCTAAAAAAAATTGTAAAATGCTGGAATAAGTTTTTTATGATAAACTGATGTCGATAAAGAATTTTTTAATAAGTACATATTAATAAGCAATCTAGTTTTCTTTTTCTTTTTTCATCTTAAATTTTAAATTTTTATGTTGTTTATTAAGATGATTAAAAAAACTATTAACCCATATTTGTTCATGAAATCCATTGAAAAATATCAGCTGAGATGGACGCTAAAGGAGAACCCATTGCAACATCATCTGTTTGATTGTAATATTTTCTATCAAATAGAAAATGCAAACTGGAAGTTGAATTCTGAAGTAATTTTTTGAACTGAGTTTTAGACAATTATTTTAAGCAAGTTTTATCTTTAAAAAATCAATCAATTGCTATGTTGATAGTTTCCTAAAGTGGAATGTTTGTAAATAAACTTTCAACATCATATGAAACAATAAATTTATTATTTATATTAATCTACTTTAACTCAAAGCAAAATCAGTCTAAATTGCAAAATTATTTAGGTATATGTGAAGATAACTTAAGATTATAGTCAAAATATAGTATGGTCGAAAAGTTGGATTATCTTTACTGAGTTTGTGTATTTTAAGTAATCTTGCTGCTTGAGATCTAACATTTTTATTGTAAATTTTTCAAAACATTTAAGCTTATAAGTTTTTCTAAGATACCCTTATAAATATGTTTTTATCGTGGCAAGAATAAATGGTAATATCATCAGCAAACAATGAGATAATTTTTTATAGTAGGATCCTCTTTTTATAACAGGATTCTATTTTTATAGTAGGATCCTCTTTTAATTCTTTATTCTTTTTATAGTAGGATCCTCTTTTAATTCTTTTTCCTTTTTATAGTAGGATCCTCTTTTTATAGAAGGGTCCTATTTAATTTTTTAATCTAAGTTTTATCATAATGTTAAGTAAAGATTTTATCCAGTCAATTTTTTAAGAATATATATATATCATTTCCTTTGTCTGGTTGTGTAACATATTTTCTAAAAACATACAGTTAATTTTGATATTTTTTGAATTAATATATATATATTTTTGTAATGATTTTTAGATTTGATGAAGTCCATTTTGGAAAGTTCATTTCTTACTTTATGAAGAATAGATTTTTTTTCGATGTTCATCCTCCATTAGGAAAACTTTTGTATGCTGCTGCAGGTATACATTAATCATATATGTTTGTGTGTACACACACACGCACGCACACACACACATGTTTGTTCATGTAATATGTTATGTGGCTTTTAATAATTAATCAGTATCTATTTTTACTATTTTTCATCCTACCTTACTTTTATTGTTTTCATTATTTTATTTAAAACTATCATTTTAATAAACCAAGTTGTTTATAAGATTATTTAGAAATAGAGTGAGGCAGTTTATCAAAGTATTGTTTTCCTAAATAAACATGCAATTTTACATATTTAGACTGTTAAGAAAAATTCACATTTTTTTTTTTTTCAACTAAAGATTGTTATGGTCTTAAAAAGTATGTTTAATCCACCAATCAAAAACATTTTATAATTTTGATTATTTGTATATATTATTCTTTGATTTGCAAAGACTCTAATAGATATATGATTGGTCTGGGCATATAATTACTATGAGAATCCAGTGGTTAGCGCGCTTGCCTCAGAAGCTAGAGATCTGTGGTTTAACCCCACCTTTGGACAAGTTTTATAACATCGGTAAAGAAGGAGGTGTAAACTTCCTTTCAAATAATCATTCACGGTGCTCTGTAATAAGACTACTTGAGGCACCTAAAATAAAATTAAAATAAAGTATTACTTATCAATTCACTTATTTCTTCTGCAATTATGTTTGAATTCTCTTACTATTCTTTTGAATGTGCATTTGTGCATCCGTTAATCACCTCTTTACTCAATCACCTTTTTATTATTTATTATTCTCTTTCTTTCTAAGAACTCTTTGTTGTTGCTTCTGATCAAACTGACCAAGCCTTTTTTTATTATCCCTCAGCTAATATTGTTGTTATTGTTAGACATCTATATCACTTTCTTGGCTTCCGTTACTAAAGTTATTTTTTACTTTACCATTTTTGCATGTTTTGATCTAAACAATATTCTGTTCACAGATTTATAAAACTTAAAAACAGTCTTACAAACTGTTTTCCAGAACTTTCTTCCGAAATTTCTTAACTGTTTAACAATGGCTCAATAGAATCTTGTTTTCATGATTGCTGGAAATTTTTTTCTGTTACTTCAATTTTTATAAACTTTGGAGATGTTCCTCTTTAAGTATTGTCTAATCAGTCTTCTTGATATTATTACCTTTGAATCTTTAATGAAAAAACATCTAATATTTCATCTGTCCTACTTGCTCTGTGACATTCAATATTTTAATTCCCTTCTTTTACTGCATATTTGTTAACTGTAATAAAAGAAAAGTTTGTACATTAAATGGAACAGGCGAGGCAAGAGCTATTTTGACAAATCAAAGGCTTTCAATAAAGTCAGGAACACTATAAGCTCTTTTTATATGGTGTATTTATCAAAGTTTTTTAAATTATTGAACAATTCCTTTCTAATTGCAATATTAGAGTTGCCCTTTATTGACGACACTCTCCATCATTTCCATTACCTTTTGGGGTACCACAAGGCAATGTGTACACAATGTTGTTTTCTTCTATGACTTTCTCTTTTTTGTTTTAGGTTAAATGTTACTGGCTTGCAGAAGCCAGTGAATTTTCAAACAAAAAAAGTTGTTTACTGCTAATAATTATTGCAATATTGTTGTTGTTCCTACATTGACTAATAACAACAGTGAAACATATTGATTGTAAAGTTAGCATCTGCTAAGATTGTCTTTCTGTGTTTTCTTACTCCTAATTTCCTTCTCTATAAATCTCTTCATACTTTTATTGAATACTGTTGTCTTTTTTTGCTGGTTCTTTTAATGAAGACCTCTCTTCTTTAGAAAAAGTTTAAAATCACATTGTGATTTTAAACTTTTTCTAAAGAAGAGAGGTCTTCATTAGAAGAACCTTTTCTCAGGTCTATAAATACTATCATGGTCAACTAAAAAAAGGTACTCATCAACTTTTATTTAGAACTAAGTATTAATTATAATACATTAATATAAGAAGATAAAATATTTCAAAGAGATTAATTTATTCCTATAAACATCTTATAAAATTTCAAAGCTTGTTTATTTCGATCTTTTACAACAAAACTAGAAGAAAATCCTTATCTTTTTGTGCATTCTCTTAGTGAGAAACTTGAATTATTCATAAAACTGTAAACCAGTTTTTTAACCAGTTTTATATTTTGAAAAATTTCCTTTCCTCCATTACCAGATATGCATTTTGTTTAGGAAAAATGATAAATAACATGACAAACGGTGTAGTGGTGTATTTGCAACATTTTTGCTACTGAATTGCAGCTTCTATTAAGATGTTCAAAATATTTTTTCTAATGTCTTCTTTTGTCATTTTTAAAACTTATTTTAAGTTAAATGGGAAAACTATATTTTTTCAAAACTATTACATGTTACCAACAAAATACAAACTCAATTAAAAATATACTAATACAGCTACTGAAAAAAATGATGTATTAATTTTTTCACATCTATTTTGTGTACACGCTTTAATTAGGAATAAGTAACAATCACTTGCTAGATTTCACATAGTACAATACAATCATTTGATAGATTTTATTTATAATAATACAATCACTTGCTAGATTTCACATAGTACTATACAATCACTTGATTTAATTTGTTTTTTTTAGCACTTTTACACTATTTCTTTGCATGATTTTTTTAATTAATTGTTAAACAAATGTTACTAATTTGTGTTTGAATCAATTCATTGTCAATTATTGATTATTTCAGTCTTTTTAAGTCTTTTTCAACTTATAATTAAACACTTTTATGCCCATAAAAATAAAAATTATTATATTTGTTCCTTTTTTCTAGAAATTAATTGGAAAAAATCTAGAAATTAATTAAAAAAAAAATATTTAAATTGATTCCATGTAAAAATGGTGAAAATAATTAAATGAAGTAATAATCATAGATTCATAAGTCTCCTACATGTGTACAACTTTTTTTTTCGAATCTCAGACCTCTGGGTTCTGAGATTCGGAAAAAAAAAAAAAAATTCATATATATATATGTATATATATATATATATATATATATATATATATATATATATATATATATATATATATATATATAGTATTTTTGGAGCACTTAAGAACAGTCACAATAAAAGGATGAGACTTAATAGAATAACAAGTAACACAAGAATGAATTTGAGTAGATGGCACAAGAGGCACAAACTTTTTAGAGCAGTGCCCATTATAGTATTCATAAAAAAGAGAAAGAGAGGGAACATAACAACAATGTGATAATGGTTGGAGGTTGGTACAAGAGCAGGTCCTACTATGTTTACAATTCGTTTTTTCACCTTAAAAAAGAATATCTAAAAGAGAATGGGCATCATTTGAAGATCCGCCTCATATATGGCCACACTATTTCATACTAGAACGGATTTGAGATTTATAGAGATAAAGAATAGTAAGAAATGCAACTTTAGCAGATGTTAATTTTGCAATGGATTTGATATACAAGCTGTAGAAGAGTCTAAGCAGGAAATCACTTTAGATACAGAAGTTGAAGTGATACGAATGTAATGGATTAATGTGTTTGTCAGCTATATCAGATAGAATGCAGCTAGTGGAACAACAGGTTTGCCCTTATTATAGATAATGTTGAAGGTTCTCTAGAAATCATGAGCCTAATTTTTGAGATAAAATACAAGATTTTATGATCTGAGAATAGTGGGCTTTAGCATTAGACACAACTTTTTTACAATGGTTTCTAGCAATAGTAAACAGGCGTCTGTTTTCTGCAGAATTGTTTTGCTGATAGATACTGTAATAGTTTCGATCGGAAAAAGGAGCAGCACAATGCGAGAAAAACCATGGAGAAGAGTGAGAGTTGACTTGGAGTGGTCGAGAGGGAATAAAAAATTCCATGGCCTGAATCCAAGAAGTACATATGTCAGCAGGAAGGTAAAAAATTTCTACCCAAGGGCCATCATGAAAAAAATCACGAAAAGAGTCCCAGTCAACTTTGGAGGTAGTTGTAAGAGGTACTATGATAGGGAACTTCTGATGATGAAGAAGAATGAGATAATAATTTTAGAGAGATCAAACCGTGATTAGAGTTTTTGTATTTGTTTCTCCACATTCACCTAAGGGTGAATGTGGACAAACTGAGCACTGTCTAGGATCAGAAATAAGTTACAAGACATAAGTTGAGTAAAGAAGCTTGAATAGTTTGAATTGTCTGGAAAACAAGTTGGAAAGTTGACTATTTGAGTTAGAGATTGAAAATATAATAATATAGATTGTTATCTATATGTGTTTATCATGTGTACTTGAATTTTTCATTAAAGGATTCATCTGAATTTACATATAAGTATAAGAGCGATTCTTATAAACTAGCGGCTTTCGACTTGTTTCTATGAAGTATGTTTTTCCTTGTTATTTTGTTATGGTCTCAAAGTTACATTTAATTCGGACCGTAGAGAAAACTTTATTTTTCGGAAATTTTTTTCGATTTAGATATAGTCTCAAAGTTACTTTTAATTCGGACCGTAGAGAAAACTTCACTTTTCGGAAATTTCGATTTAGATATGGTTTCAAAGTTTCTTTTAGTTCGGACCGTAGAGAAAACTTCACTTTTTTACAATTTTTTTTTTCCCGCTTTCTACATCGTTTTTATATCACGATTTATATCATTGTTATAATACCGACAACTAATTTTTTAACCACTCATTTGGCTTAAAATTATCTGGTTTTATTACAATATTTATTTAGTCTTATTGCTATATTTATTAATATTTTACTTATCTCCTGATTTTCATATTATTACTGTTTACAGAAACTTTCATGTTATATTATCTTGCATTCATTACTCAGCTTTGTTTTAATTTTCACATGCACAATTTTTATCTTTATTATTATTTAGATAACATTTTTATATCCTTCATTTAATGTTTACATATATGTCGCTTACATTTTTAAGGTTTTTGTGCAACGTTCTTTTTCGCTATCATATATTATTCTATTATTGTTATGATTTTGGGTTTCGCGGGTTACTCATTTTCCTACACTTTTGATTGGTTA